ATAAATATAAAATAAAATGTGATTTTATAAAAAAAAATTATTAATAAATACAATAAAAGATTTGATTAAAGATAAAACCGATGATTGTGAGGGTAAACAAATTATTCAATGATGGTGATGTAAAATGAAATGAAAATATAAATGTGTTATCAATAAAAAACCCATATAAAATTGACTTATATAAAAAAATATGACAAAAACTAAAATGGAATGATAAAGATGATTTAATAACTAAATAAAACTTGCACTTTTGATTCTGGAAACAAATGTATGCACCCAAAAAATCCCATCAACGGATAAATATTTATTGATATGCTTCATGTGTTAGAATAAAATAAAATGGAATGTTAAATTCAGTGAACTGCAATTTTCAAAAAATTAAGTTCTATGTGGTAGACAAATGCGGAGGAGGGGGACGAGGAGACGACGAACGATCGACATGCTGGTAGTGTCGATGACTGATGATGATGATGATGATGATGATGATGATGGTTGGTGGGATGTGCAGACGACGATGATGAGGCTGATGATGTTGATGGTGATGCTCACGATGCTGCTGATGTGATGGTGTGGTGGTGATGATGATGCTGAGGATGATGATGATGCTAATTGTGATGATGCTGCTGCTGCTGATGTTGGTGATGCTGTTGCTGATGATCCTGCTGCTGCTGATGATGATGAGTATGATGCTGACGATAATGCTAGTGAGGATGGCGTTGAGGTTGATGATGATGCTGATGACGATGGTGTTGATGGTGATTCTGCTGATCATGTTGTTGCTGCTGCTGAGGATGATGTTGATGCAGACGACGATGATGCTGACGATGATGATGATGAGACCGATGATGACGATGATGCTGCTGATGCTGCGAATGAGGATGATGATGCTGACGATGATGCTGACGATGACGCTGACGATGGTGCCGATGATGATGATGATGTTTACGATGGTGATGATGATGATGCTTATTATTTCGACGATACTGATGATTATGATGCTGCTGCTTGTGATGATAGTGCTGCTCATCATGAGGACGATGATGATAAGGATGCAGATGCTGATGCTGCCGCTGATGATGCTGCTGGCGCCGATGATGGTGGTGGTGATGATGATGATGCTGATGTTGATGATTATTATGATGCTGATGATGCTGATGATAATGCTGCTGCTGATGATGCTGACGATGCTGGTGATGATTGTGATGATGGTGATGCTGATGATGATGCTGATTGTGATGATGATGATGATGATGATGATGATGACGATACTGCTGCTGATGATGCTGATGATGCTGATGATGCTGATGATGATGCCGATGTTCACGATCCTGATGATGGTGATGCGGATGACGATGTTGATGATGATACTGCTGATGTTGCCGATGCTGATGATGCTAATGATGCTGCTGATGATGCTGCTGATGCTGATTCTGATGCTGGTGATGCGGCTGATTATGACATTGATGAGGCTGATGATGTTGATCTTGCTGCTGCTGATGATGATTATGACGGCGATGATCATGATGCTGATGATTCTGATGATGATGATGAGGATGATGATGATGATGATGATGATGATGATGGTGATGTTCATGACGATGCTGATGGTGATGTCGATGATGATGATGATGTTGATGATCATGACGCCAATGGTGATGCTTCTGATGAGGATGCTGCTCATGATGATGCTGATGATGCTGCTGATGATGATGGTCGTAGTGATGATGCCGATACTGCTGATGATGCTGATTATGCTGCCGCCGCTGCTGCTGCTGTTGCCGCTGCTGGTGATGATGATGACGGTGGTGGTGGTGGTGGTGATGGTAATGCTGATGCTGATGCTGATGATGATGGTGTTGCTGACGCCGATAATGATGCTGCTGATTATGATGATGATGCTGATGATGATAAAGCTGATGGTGTTGCTGATGACGATGATGATAAGGATGCTGAGGTGGCTGATGGTGCGGATGATGATACTGATGACGCTGATGATCATGATTGTGGTGATGATGCTGATGCTGGTGATGGTGATGTGAGTATAATGATACGGCTGATGCTGCTGATTTTGATGATGGCGATAATGGTGATAATGCTGCTGCTCATGATGATGCTCATAATGAGAATGATGATGCTGATGATGCCGATGAATGGTGAGGATGCAGGTGTTGATGATGATGCTAATGATGATGATGATGATGATGGTGATGATGATGATGATGATGATGATGATGATGATGGTGATGATGATGGTGATGATAATGATGACAATTGGGATGACGATGATGATTCTGATGATGCTGATGTTGATGATGATGAGGATGATGCGGATGATGATGCTGATGATGATGTTGATGCTGCTGATGATGATGCTGCTGATGATGATGATGAATATGATGATGCTGATGATGACGATGCTGCTGATGAGGATGTTGCTGCTGCTGATGATGATACTAGTAATCATGATGCTGATTTTGCTGATGATGATGCTGATGATGCTGATGATGATGATGATGCTGATGATGATGATGATGTTGATGATGATGCTGATGATGATGATGATGATGATGATGATGATGATGATGATGATGGTGGTGGTGGTGGTGGTGGTGGTGGTTGTGATGACAATGATTGTGTGGGTGGTGGTTGTGGTGATGATGAGTGGAAGAGGAGGAGGAGGAAGAGGAGGAGGAGGCGGAGGAGTTGGAGGAGGAGTTGGAGGAGGAGGAGGAGGAAGAGAATGTGCAGGCGGAGGGGGGGGTTTTTTGGGGAGGAAGGGAAGAAGGGAGAGTAGGGAGGAGGAGGAGGAGAGAGGAGGAATGAGAGGCGGAAAAGGGAGGAGGAGAAGGAGAAAGAGGAGGAGGAGGAGGAGGTCGAGGAGGATGAGTATGAGTGGGAGGAGGGACAAAGGGAGCCTGGGAGGAGGACGGTCAGCCATGGAGAAGGATGAGGAAAAGGATGATGATGATGATGATGATGATGATGATGATGATGATGATGATGATGATGATGATGATGATGATGATGATGATGATGATGAGATGGATGATGAGATGATGGATGATGATGATGATGATGATGATGATGATGATGATGAGGGGGTGGAGGCGGATGATGGAGATGGGTGAGGCAGGAGTAGGGTATGACGGGCAGGCGGAAGAGGTGATATTTGCAACGTATCGGCACGTTGTCATGGAATTCAGTCTCTGCCGCCTGTCCTCCCCGTCCTCCTCCCTCTCCCCGTGTTTTCCTCCTCCTCCTCTTCCCACCCATGGTATCCTCCTCTCCTCCTCCTCCTCCTCCTCCTGCTCTTCCTGTTGACCTCATATTCCTGGAGCTCGTTCTACTCCCTTCCTCTCCTATCCTCCTCTACTCCTCCTCGTCCTTCTCCTCGTCCTCTTTCTCCTCTCCTTTCCGAATTCCTCCTGCTCCTCTTCCCCCCCGGTCTCTCATCCTCTTCTTCCTCCTAGTTGCTATTGTTCCTCGCACCTCCTCTCATCCTTTCGCTGCTCTTCCAGCTCTCCCTGCTTATCCTGTTGCCTTTCCTTCTTTTTTTCTCTCCCGCTCTTCCACTTACAATTCCTCCGCCTCCGCGACCTCATGCTCGTCCTCCCCCGTCTCCTATTCCTCCTTCTCCTCATCTTTGTCCTACTCTCCTTCTGCTGCTCTTCTTCCTGCCCTTCTTTTTCGTACCCTCCTCTCTTCTTGCTTTTTTATCCTGTTTGATCATCTTCCCGTTTCCTTCCCAAGGGTTCCCGCGAGGGCGCAACATCAATTCGCGCTTCGCGGTTCGCGGTTCGGCCCTCCTCCCTCGTCCGTCTCGTCTCTCGTCCCGATCTTGTCTAGTCTTCTTGTCCCCTGATAGGGGCGGTGCGAGAGCGCGAAGTTGTTTGCGTCTCGCTAAGCGAAATGCGCGAATACCTGAACCCCCGCTTTCCCACCCCCGCCTCCATCTTCTCCCCTTCCTCCTTTATCCTCCATTGTCCGTCCTCCCCTACCCATCTTTTCCCCTCCTCCTCCCCCCTTTCCCTCTTTATTCTCCCTCTGTGCCCTCTCCTTCTTGCGCCGCAGCCGCCGCCGCCGCCGCCGCCGCTGACGTTGTGATCGTCGCTGCCAACGTTGTCTTCGCTGCCGCCGTCGCTGCCACCGCCGCCACTGTCGCCGCCGCCGCTGCCGTCGTCGTCGTCGCCGCCGCCGTCGTCGTGGTGGTGGTTGTGGTCGTCGTCGTCGTCGTCTCCACTGAAGAATCGACTTCCGGACCTGTCCAGGGGTGCGCGTCGTGGTCGACGTCGTCGTGCCCAGTCGTGGTCCGGCCTTTTGTCGTCGTCGTCGACGTCGTCGTCGTCGTCGTCTCCCCTGAAGAATCGACTTGTCCAGGGGTGCGCTCTGGCTAAGCGTTTCGCGGCCGAGGCAGCTGTGGCAACGACGGCACCCCTGGGAGGCCTCAGCAGTCGTCGTCGTTGACGTCGTCGTCGTCGTCGTCGTCGTCGTCGTCGTCGTCGCCGTCGCCGTCGCCGTCGCCGTCGCCGTCGCCGTCGCCGTCGCCGTCGTCGTCGTCGTGCGTCGTGATCGTCCTTGTCATCGTGATCGTCGTCGTCGTCGTCGTCGTTGTCGTCGTCGTCGTCGGCGTCGTCGTCGTCTGTCGAAGTCGTCTGTCGTCTGTCGTCGTCGTCGTCTGTCGCCGTCGCCGTCGAAGTCGCCGTCGCCGTTGCCGTCGCCGTCGTCGTCGCCGTCGCTGTCGTGCGTCGTGATCGTTGTTGTCGTCGTGGTCGTCGTTGTCGTCGTCGTCGTCGTCGTCGTCGTCGTGATCGTCGTTGTCGTCGTCGTCGTCTCCGTCGCCGTCGTGCGTCGTCGTCTGTCGCCGTCGTCTGTCGTTGTCGTCCGTCGCTGTCGCCGTCAAAGTCGCCGTCGCTGTTGCCGTCGTGCGTCGTCGTTTGTCGTCGTTGCCGTCGCTGTCACTGTCGTCAGTCGCCGCCGCCGACGCCGCCGTCGCAGAAGAGGCCGTGACGCCGCCGGGCTTCTCCCCGACGGGCACGCCGCCACCGTGCACGACGCCGCAGCCCGCGCTCGGGTACCTGGCCCTGGGCTCGCAGACGGTGCGGGCCGTCGCTGCCACCGCGGTCGCTGTCGGCGTCGTCGTCGGCGTCGGCGTCTGCGTCATCGTCCGTCGTCGTCATCGTGCGTCGTCCGTCGTGATCATTGTCGCCGTCGTCTTCGTCATCTCCTTCGTCGTCGTCTTAGCAGCATCAGTCCCAGGAAGGAAGGGCAGGTTCTGATGGGTTTTATCTTTGGAACGGGGTAGCAGAGCACTCGTCACACGGCTCAGGGAAGGCACGAGGGAGAGTCAGGGGGGCGGTGGGCGGTGGTCATGGGCATGCTCTCCTCTTCCGCTCCCCTTCAGCGGGTTCGAGGGCGCACGTTTTTGCGATCGGCCCGCGATGTATGCGTCTTGACACGCATTTTTCTGGGGAGGTGCAGCCTCTGCATGGATAGAATAGAGGGCCACAAGTGAACCCTACCACTACCCCCCACGATTTCTGAGGGGGAGGGTGGGGTTCACTTCGCTTGGGAGCTCCCGAACGAAGTGAACCCCACCCTCCCCCTCAGAAATCGTGGGGGGTAGGGGTAGGGTTCGCATGTGGCCCCCTACAAAAGCACCGGCACGCTATTGCTGCCAGCCTTCCGATCTCTCAGGTTTGCGTCCAGAGGAGATTTCACTGATCACTGGCAGCGCTTCTTCTGTAGGCCTCCTGGTCGTCAGGGACACCGCCGGCCGGGCGCTGCAAGCTGGGTTGAGGGCGCTGATCCAGAAACAGGGCTGGACCTAAACGCTGTTTTGCTGGACTTCGGCGGTGTTGCGCTTTACGTTTTGGCAGGGAGGTACAGGACAACAGGTAAAGCAAAACGAACAACAACACGAACAAAACACGAACAACAAAGTGTGGGTCCAGCCCTGTCTAGAAGATGCCACGGCTCGATCTGCGCTTTTGCTCCGCAGCCGCTTTGGTGGCGCCCCGCCCTGGCAACAGGTGCGCCCGAGCTGTCCGTATATGCAGACCGTCTATCGCGTGCAGGTCACACCGCTGCGACTGCTCGTACACTGGAGGCCCATGCCAAGAAACACCCTGTTTGCCTCCAGCGTGCCCTGGATTTCTTGGGCTTCGATGGTTTTGCTATGGAAAGCGTGGCGCTTCTGCACCAAACATCCCTGTACGTCCTGGGGTCTCATGGTTGGGCTTCTTTGGATTGGGTTCCACTGTACCGCTTATTACCCACAGCCGTCTCACCGCATAGGCCGCTTCTGCAGACGCCAGCGGGCCTCGTGAGAGTGGTTCAAGCGGCTCGCAGCGGGGATCGCCCGTCGCTGCGATGCGCGCGGGCAGCGTTTGGCGCACGTGAACACGACGGGTTGCCCAGCAACGTGTCGCGGACGTGTCGTCCGCACTCGGCCTGGCAGTGTGGCTGGATGACGTTCCTGGTCGCGGCCCCCCGGCCGCAGCTGGGGCCTGTGTTGGTTTGAAGCGGCTCTCTTCGCGCATCTTAGGTCTCGAGATTCCCCGGTGTTGGAACGACTGGCCTTACGCGCGTCTGTTCGCCCACTGGCGCAGGAACTCGGGCTGCGGGTTTGGAGGCATCAGCTGAGCCTGGACCTAACTTACCGCGGGCGCGATTGCTTTGTTCGCGAAGCTCGTCGTGTACGTCGTGTGCGTCGTTGTGTCCAGTTTCAGGTTTTCGCACCGACCAAACGCATTCTTTTGCCCAGAGCAGGTGCTCCTGCCAGACGCTGGTGGCGCACCGCCAGGCAAAACACGCACGGCGGAGTAGCCTTCTTCGTCACCGTTTTTCGGATATTTTTGCGGTATCTCTGCGGCGATTTGCGCATTCGTTGCGCGAGCGCAGCTTCTCTGGTTCCAAGTATTGACACCAGACGTAGCAGCGGTCTGGTTCCGAGCACAGTATATGATTACCACCACCAGGATCGAGAATCATCTGCGATGCGACTTGGTGCAGTTTTGCTCTCGTGAAAAAGCCCGCAGACCCCCGCCCGCCGCCAACGGCAAACGGGCTGTCCCCTCTCTCTTAAGGGCCGAAACAAAATTCATCAAATCACGCGCGGTGGTGGTGTATAAAATTGTGGTTACCAAGAGGAGCGATTTTTATTCACCGCCACCAAGAAGTATTGTTTCTGCTCCATGAACTCCCCATGCCGCGGCGCCTGCGAGCTGCGCCGCGCTCCTTTTCGCCGTGGCGTCGCAGCGTCGTCTGGCATGACCCTTCCCCTGACCCTTTCTGCGGTGAATTATTGTTGCGGGCGGTGGTGGTGTATAACAATTGGCCTCGCAAGCTGGCGGCTGAGTCTCGAATCCGCCGTGGCCCCTATGGCTACCACAAGCTTATGGGGTGCACGCGCGCCTTGTACACGCTTCCACCTCTGACGCTCGCACCCTCCGACGCTTGCGCGGTTTCCATCTGCTCGCTGCGACCCCAGTCTTGCCGATCGCTTGCGTCTCACTGTGGAGGATCGCTCCGAGTGGACAGAAGGCTGCGTGCCGTCGCACGGAGGAGCCTACCACGTGTGGTACTCTCTGGCGCGCGCCAGGAGTCCCCGACATATATCCAGCGAGTCTGCTTGGCAGTTCTTCTTTGGTTCAAGAGGGAGGGCTCCAACGCGCCCCTTGACCGTGGGCCACGAGGAGGGGCATTTTCTCAATTGTTTCATCATTGGGGTGATCTATAAATGGCAGCCGCACTGATGAAGCGATATCAGCCCGTGAAGAGAAAGCTGCGATGTCGGATGGCGTATGCAATCAACGCGTTGCCCGGCGTCATCGGCTGATTTCCCCGATGCGAGCGCTGCTCTTTTGGCTTGATTTGATTTCTATATCTGGCTGCATGTCTAGCGCAAGGCGCAATGTTGACTCATGTGATGGGCCAGGAATTAGCAAAGTTGCGACACAATTCGTGCGTGAATCTTTACCAGCACCCCCGACTACGATGCCATTGGACACTGACGTTATTCATGATGTGCCGCCTGAATTGTCCGAGCTCGTGAACAAACTATGGAACCAACCATTTGACATAATCCCCACTCGCGGGAGATGGTGACGGATGCTGCTAGCTGCGCGAGAATTATTATTATTATTCATGTCTGCGGGAGTCACTGTTGCATTTCTGGGATGCGAAGTGCAGCGCGACATAAACTATGCGAATGCAGCTCTGGAAGCTTTGCGCGATGCTCATGCTTTCGATTGTCGAATTAGATCCGCCGTTGAATCATTCGAGGATTGGGAAATGAAGTCTCAGAGACCGTCAGACAGAATTGCCTGAGGATCCAAGATGCCACTGTGTTCATGCATGCGTCTACGGAACCTCGCGTCAGTGTCGAGGCCTGTCTAGCCAACGGCCGTTTTGGTTTCTTCAGCGCAGACAATGCCATTGGAATTACCAATTGCCTGAAGAAGAAAAAGGAGGAGGGCGGCCCAGCCGACTCTCCCACAGAGACGATCCCAGCTGAGTTTCCAGCAGATGCTGCAATCATGATAGCTGAAGGGGGCACCCCGATAGGCGCCGCCGCTTCGGGGGTGCGAGCTCAGCGGCATTCTCGCCCAGCATCGAGGCCGAGGTATCGGGGGGGGCAAGCCCGCAGGGCCGTTCTTTATGCTTCCGTGCCCGCCGGCCCAGCCGCGTCGAGCACCCATTCTGGCTGGGTTAGCTATGATAGGGTCCAGTCTTGGGCAGATGAGTCCGTAGTAGAGTCGGGCGGCCGCGCGAGCGATGGCGGCGGCCCCTGGCCGGCCATGGGCGGCGGCAGCGACGCGACGACCGACCGTGCGGGCAAAAGTGAGATTGGGGAAGTTGAAGGGTGTTACTTACATGTATCTCGTCACCAGAATGTCACCAGTCACGCCAAAACCTGGCATTGGTTTAGTTTGAACGACTACAACGACAAGTTCAAACGTGATTCTGGGATGCCGAGCACCTTGCCAGAGCCTCTGCCGCCGCCTGCGCCGAAGGCTAGGCCGCCTGAGAAGGGCCGGGGCAAGAATCAGCCAAACAGCTGGAGCCTCAGCAGAAGAGAAGATATATATATATATATGACAATTATTCACGAGATCAGTACCAGTGGAACTGGAACAGCAGAGACACGTGGGATGATTCTCGAGAATGGAGAAATGAATTGTAGAGGTGATGCAATGCAAAAGGACCAGTACGACTTCGTCGATGCCGGTCCACAGTTCATCATGAAGTGGGTGCGCCAGGTGTGCATGGGCAGTGAGCCCTGAGCTGGGCAATATTTGCTCAGGCGGGGCGCGTCGGGCCACTTCGGTCTTCCGCCCCCTGGCAACCACCGTTGAGCGGTAAAAAGCTTTTGGGGTTTGCTCCGGTGGCTGTAAATATGAACAGGCCAGGTGGGTTGGGGGTCGGAGCGACTCTACGGACCCCGCCGCGGGGGCAGTCGATGCTTTCCTTCCGCGCCGCCATCCTCTTGCCCATCTTGCTCCTTAATCTTGCATGCGCTGTCTGCTGTGCTGACTGCTCCTCTCCTGCAACTACACTTTGGCTTTAGGGAAACGGATGGGGAGCGAGCCTGCGGCGCGCGCGCGCGTCGGCCGGCGGGCCGGCCTCCCCCTTTCAGTGTTACTTTAGTGTATGTTTGACGGCATTATCCCTTCTTCCGCATGTCATCGGCGAAGCCCACTGACCATGATATATCAACGGAACATCTAGCAGATTTTACGATTATCCCGGCAAAAGACTCTTTGGGGGGGTGCAGGGTGTTTGTTGACGGGGAGCAGTGATCAAGACACTTCCTGCCCACAAGCCGCAAGCCGTCTCGTTCACTCCCACCCGCCCTCCCAACACATAGGTAACACTCGAACATCCATGTCAAAGAACCAGTGCAAAGTGGTCGCGGGGCGCCCGCGCATGCTCCAAATTTTGAAGCACAGTGCAATGTGCATTGTACTTGGACACGGATGGCTGGCGTTCACGCAGCAAGCACAAGTGAGGGCACCTCCGCCGTCTGCGTCAAAAGTGCACGCAGATGCAAAGTGGATTCGGGGCGCCCGCGCATGCTTCAGATTCAGAGGCACAGTGCATTTTGTATGGTATTTTGCAAGGGGTGGTTGGCTTTCGCGCAACAGGCAAGGTGAGGGCACCCCGCCGTCCGTGTCAAAACCTATGCGAAGTGATCGCGGGGCGCTCGCGCATGCTCCAGATTTGGAGGCAACTTGTTTATTTCTGGTTGACAGGGGTGGTGGGGGGAAGGCTGACATGGGTTCGGGTTGGCTGCCGGTCGTGTGGGGGAAGGGGTGTTTCTTAATAGGGAGCAGTAGTCAATACACTCCCCAGACGCAAACTGTTTGGCAAACTTCCACCCGCCCTGTCATAACATAAATAGTTCCCGAGTCTCAGCATAAACTATATTTGGAACAAATACAAACCTCAGACGCCATGTGCGCGACACTGGGGCGAGGTGTGCCACGCGTGCCAGGCGCGCCACGCGCACCAGGCGCCCCTGGGGCCGAAACCTGCCAGACACGCCTGGTGCGCCAGATGTTCCATGTGCTCCACGTGCGTCAAATGTGCCGCATGCAAAAACGCGACATTTGCACCACCGTCGGGGCACGCGCAGAGTGTGCCAGATGCGCCCGCGCACATCGAGAAGTATGCCGTCCCGACCATCACTGTCGAAATTTAATCCACCGGAGTGGCCGTCATGATGTTGAATGGGCCGGCGCACAGCAGGCAATATGCGAACACCCCCGCCGTCCTTGTCAAAAACCAGAACGAAGTTAGTTATCGTGGGGTGCCCGCACAGGATCCAGGCTTAGCCGCGACGTGCAGCCTGTATTGTCTTTCGACTGGGATGGTGGCCCTGCGCGAAGCAGGCCATACGCTGCCCCCCCCGCCGTCCCTGTCAAAACAAAAATGCAAAGTGCTTGTTCCCCCCGAACGTGACCCTAGATGTTGCCACAAAGTGCACTTTACATGTTTGTTTGTTTCATGGATGGCGGGGGGGAGTTCCCGCACTGTCCCTGCTTTGTCGTCGGTCGAGTGGGTGAGGGGGTGTATACTCATGAGGAGCAATGATAACCCCCTCCCCGAATAGGGGAAGAGGGAAGACAAGAACCGCCATACCGTTTGCGCACAAAGGGCTGGTGGAATTTTCCCTCCAGAGCTTTCTTGGCGGAAGACCTCCCCCACAGGCTGCGGACGACTACGACCCGGCGCCGCTGCCCAAGCTGCTGGGCCCAGCCGGCTGGGCGGAGCCCCAGAAGGCGCTTCTCCCTCTCTGGGCGCTGTGGATCTCATCGGGAGACTGGTCAGGCGAGCCCAGACAGGATCGCATCGGATCGGATCGAAAAAGGATCGGAACGGGATGGAACGGATCGGACCCTTGGGGCCCTCGGGATCCAATCGGATTGGAACGATCCCAAACCAGTCCTGAACGGCCAGGCTGGTTCTCAACTTGCCAATTTTGAGGGCTCGTTTCGTCCCGCCCACATGCGCCCTGGGGTTTTAGCACCCTGACGGCGTCGTCGACGCGCGCGCCGCCACCGTCTTGGGCTCGGCGGTGGCTGCGCAGCCTTGCTCGTCCTGACGGCTGGCAGGCGAGCTGTCTTCGGAACCAGGGCGGACGATCTTCGCTGTCTTCGGTCTCCGCGGGCCACTTTCGGCCCCCGGGGCCGTGGAACACTTCCCGGGAGGAAGTGTGTGGCCCCGGGTCGGGGGAAGGAGAAGCGGCACAGCTACCATCAGGGGGGCCACCTCCAGCGAGGAGGTCAACGACGCCCCCCCCCCTGGACTGGGGAGAAGGGGAAGTCTCGAGCGAGAGGAGGGCCACACCACGAGGGCACCGGGGGGCCCCCCTTCTGGCTCCTCCCGCTGGTGGTCCCTGGTGGTGGTGGTGGTGGTGTCGCTGATCCCTGTTCCTACAATCAACCCGCATAGCGAGGAGGCGCACCTTTCCAAGCTGACCCTTGCCTCCTTCCCCTTCGGCCCATCCTTGGCTGCCTTCGCTGGCCGCGCCCCGCTCGCAAAGTGTCGACGTGGCCCTCCAAGGCCCTTGCATTATCCGTAAGGGCTTCGCCCCCTGCCGCCGGCCCCCTCTCTCGGATAATTGGTTATGCAAGAGCTAAATCATGAGGCCTCGGCGCCGAGAAGCAGCATCTCGGCACGAGAAATTGAGATTTTGATTATATTGTTGAACTCAGCGTTGCATTTTGAACCTGCCTCCGTATGCTGTGCACTGAGGTTTCCCACAGAATTTCGAACATGTGGCTTCGAGGACGCGAACATAGCGTAATTTGAACGTAATTTACAAGGGGGGACGCGAAGATAGCGTAATTTACGAAGGTTTATGGCTTCGGGTACGCGAATAGCGCGTCATTTACGAGGGTTTATGGCTTCGGGGTCGCAAGCATAGCGTCATGTATGCAGGTTTATGGCTTCGGAGACGCGAGGGTGGCGTACTTTACGGGGGTTTCTGGTTTCGGACACGCGATTGTTGGCAATTTACGAAGGTTCTTGTTTCGGGGACGCAACTATTGTATCACTTACGCAGGTTTATGGTTTCGGAGACGCGAATATTTTGTAATGTGCACGGGTTTATGGCTTTGGGGACGCGAATAGGGCGTGATTTACAAGCGTTTGTGGCAACGGGGACGCCAGTATGGTTTCGGAGACGCGAACATTGTATACTTTTCACGGGTTTATGGCTTCGGGGACGCGACTATGGCGTGATTTACAAGCGTTTGTGGCCTCGGGGACGCGAACATTGTAATTTACAAGGGTTTATCCCCCCAGGAATTTTGAGACCCCTCTCAGGAGACGCTAACCAGGCTGATTTTCGGCTCCCCCCCTCGCGCGGTCGACAACAAGGAACAGGAATAGAACCAGAAGCAGAACTGTAGCAGTGGAAACTGGAAACTGGAACTGGTGCAGGGAACAGAAAACCCTCGTCCTACAGCCTGGTGGCCCCAAAAGGGGGCCAGCGGATTATCGTGCGTCCTTATTATATGATGGGCCTGTTTCCCACAACCACCACCATAAGTTGGAGGGGGAAGGAGGAGGATAAGGAGGAGGAGGAGGAGAAGGAGGAGGCGGAGGACCCCCTCCCCCTCCAACTTGATGGTGGTGGTGGTGGAAAACAGGCCCATCATTCTGCGGGCTGACCGTGCTCCTCCTTTCTCCCTCTCCTCCCCCCCCCGGCGGCGCGGGCCGCGGAGCGCCCCGTCCCCCGGCGACCCCGGCGACCCCGGCGACCCCGACGACGACGACGACGACGACGACGACGCGCGACGACGACGACGGCGACGACGCACGACGACGACGACGACGCATGACGACGACGGCGACGACGGCGACGAAGATGGACGACGACGACGACGACGACGACGACGGACGACGACGACGACGACGACCACGACGACGACGACGACGACGACGACGACGACGGACGACGACGGACGACGGACGACGACGGACGACGACGACGGACGACCGCCGACAAAAAACTTGGCCTCGAGGCCTTGGGGGGTGGGAAGGCCTGCGCCGTCCCGCCGCGGCAGCAGGGACCGGGCGCTTGGCGGTGAGCACGGAGCACTGCCCCGCAGCCTCTGTCGGGCGCGGCCACGAGGGGGGCCGATGACTGTCTTTGAGTCGGGCCTGTCCTTCTACAGGAGAAATTTCGAATTTTGTAAAAAATAGCCTTGGGACGTTGATTTTTTTTAGGGATGTTTTGTTGCTGTTGTTGTTGTTGTTGTTGAACATTATTAATTCTAAAGAATAATTATTGTTGGGCCCCCTGGTGCGCGCCCCCCCCGCCGCGCCTAGGCCGCAGCTACATTTTCATCATTTTCGTGAGGAAGCCTCAGGTAAAACGATGGGGTCCAGATCCGGTTGTTTTGTTCCCCCCCGCTTTCCCTTGCAAAAAACACTATAAAATGAAATTTCTTGTTCAAATATAATCAAATTTCAAGAATCCCTTGCAAAAAATAAGGTAAAGTGGACATTCGCGCGCGCAAGACGAAATCCTTCCAAAAGCTTAGTGTTCGGAGCGATTTCAACATAAAAACATCAAAAAACCAATGGTTTTTCAACAAAAAAAAATGTCAAAATCTCATCCCGCGCGCTCTTGCGGATTCGTAGGAAACCCAACACTTTTTAAACATTTCTGTCAAACGGGCTTTTGCGAGCAACTTTTTCGAACTTCTGCGACAACGGTTGCGCACCTGCCAGGGCCATCATCCCTGTCAAATAATACCATGCGGGACACATTCGTTTTTTCTTCGCGCGCGCACGCCGAAATCTCCAAAAACCATTGGGTTCTTAAGAATTTTAGCACCGCGCATCATAAAATCACACGAATCGCACCGTAGGTCCTCGAAAAACACCTGCACGACTTTTCAAAATTTCCACCCGCGCGCGCTGTGTACCCCACGCCAGTGTAGTAGCCACGGTCGTCCGCACGCCACGAAGTGAAGTGTCCCAACGTCATAGGGCGGGAAGCTGGGTTTGGGTGGTCGCGAAGAGTCGTTTGGATATTTGGTAGAGCTTGTAATGCCCCCCCACGAAGTGGGGGTATTGCCTGGTGTCGTATGAAAACCCTGGCACTGGGGAGAACACCACGCGTTCGGGTAAAATGATTGTTGTTGTTGTTGTTGTTGTTGTCGTCGTCGTCGTCGTCGTCGTCGTCGTCGTCGTCGTCGTCGTCGTCGTTGTTGTTGTTGTTGTTGTTGTTGTTGTTGTTGTTGTTGTTGTTGTTGTTGTTGTTGTTGTTGTATTTTTTGTATTCTTAGTTTTCGTCCAAAATGCGCCTGTGGGGGGACATGCCCGACCTGAGACTATCTGGCCCCCCAGACGGCCCCCAGTTCCGATTCTTTTCGACTCTGGATTCCGATTTGGGCTCCGTTGTCTCGATGAAGGCCTACTCGATTGCCGATTCCCGCCGATTCGGCTGCCGATTTCCGCCGATCCAATTCATTTCGATCGCCGATCCGACTTGTCGATCCGATTCTGGGCTCTCCTGCCCAGATGGGGTTGGAGCAGATGGGATCGTCGGACCGTGCCACGTCGCCGATGCAGCGGCGATGCGGCCCGATGCGGATGGAGCCCAGCTTTTCTCTCCGCGCCGGCGTCGCCGCTGAGCCGCTGGCTTCGCAGGGGCATCACCGACGTGTCGGCGATGCATCGGCGATGCACTGGCGTTGTGTCGGGCACGCACCTCTACAGGAGGAATATTCAAAAATAGTCAGATACTAGTCTGGGGGCGATTTTTCTACTATTGCTGACTATTTCTGGATATTTTTCACTCGCCCAAAATCCGCCTGTAGGGGGACACGCCCGACCTAACACTGGCGATGCGGCGCGATGCTCCGACTCCATCTACTCGGATCCCATCTGAGAGGCCTCTAGGCCAGGGGGGAGGATATCATGGCCAGGGCCAGGATATCTCCCAGATCTCATGGTCCCTTCTCCTCTCTCCAATGCCTGTCCTGGCCCCCCCCCTTGGGCTGCGCACATCTGCTTGAGGCCATGCTTTGCGAGCCCCCCTCCTGGACGCCTCGTGGCCAGAGAACATGTCCATTCAGGAAGGGGAAAACACACAGACACACTTCATCGTCGATTCCCGAAAATATGGGAAAATATGGGAAGTGGGGGGAAGACCACATCTAAACAAAAACTAAGAAAATATGGGGAATCCTGTTATTTGTGTCTATTCATTTGTGTGTCCCAGGGCCCCTTCATCCATATCCACTCGGGGCTCACGTAACGGGGGTCAGCTCCAGCGGGGGTCATCGGGGGTGGACAGAACCCCCACCCAGACAGGTCGATCAGTGGATTGTCCGTTTTCGGTTCTCGAGAGGGCACCGCGGCCGTCATTTTCCAGGCTTGCGCCCGCCAGGCTTGGGCCCCGAGGCCGTTTCCACTACACCGCGGCTTACTGACAGGGGGTTCCGGCTTCTCTCTTCGTCCCCGAGGTCCGCGAACCCCCTCTGGCTGACCCGGGCTCGGGAGCCGCGTGGGGCCGACTGGGCGGCCGGCCGAGCTTCGCGACAGGGCCCTGGCCGACTCGGGCTTGCGCTGACCCCGGCCAGTGCCTCCCCGATCCGCGGCCTCGCGGTCTTCGCCATGAGGCACGCGTTCGGTTGGGCGTGTCCCTCTGCAGGAGGAAAACTCAGGCATAGTTAAAGCATAGTCTGGGAACGATTTGGCTATGTTTGGTTTTGTCCGGGGTACTTCTGATTTTTCGTCCAAAATCCGCCTGTAGGGGGAC